TATATATACACACACACACACTGTATATACAGTATATATAATGAGAGATGGGGAGAGAGATACAGATAAGTAGACACATTTGTTGATACTGCTGATCCACTGAAACAATGAGTCACGGCTTGTGAAAACTGATTTAATTAAAACAATTTTCTAATACAAGTTCCTATGTCTAGTATGCGATGGAGTTAACAAAAGTAGTGAAAGACATTTATTAGACGTTTGTTTTACAAAGTAATGCTAAAATAGTACGGACAAATATGTCGATACTTTTAAAAAGGCTGTTAATCTTTGAATTGTAGTCGTTTTTTGAAGTGCGTGATGAGTGCTTGGTTTTGTTTTGGGGCTGCTTTACTTCATTTGACACAGGCAATATAGAATCTGCATGGCACAATGAAGTCTCAAGACTACCATGGCATCCTGGAGCAAAGCATACTGCTCAATGTCAAAAAGCTCATGCTCACTTGTAGGTCATGGTCCTTCATAACAATTACCCAAAACTTACAGTTTAAAGCACTCAAGAGTGGCTGGAAAAATAACTAAACTCATTGGGCTATTTTTAATGGCTCTTTGTGATCCTAGATCCTAATACTGTTAAATAGCTATTGAAAGACCTGAATTTTCAGTGTGGAGATGCTTTCTGCCAAACCTGAGACAGCTTGATCAGTTTTCTTAGGAAAACTGGGCCAAACTACTTTATGGCAAATTGAGATGTCTCATTTTTTTATGCACTTCTTGTTACTGTGCACTATTTTATTTTTATATTGTATCATGTTCGAATAAATTTCATTTCATTTCATTTTGAAGCACAGAGATCACTTGTTGGCAGCGATTACTTTAAAAAGTGTTGCTACACAATAATAACTTAAGGATACCAGTGTTTTTGTTCATGTCATTTTCAATTGTTTGTTTATGATGTATTTCAACTAAATCAATAATCAACAACAAAGTCAGATTTGTGTTGAATATGGAATAAGACCCATTAAACTTTAATCTCTTTAAAGTTATTTCAAAGATAGTTGTTTTTGATTATTGTGGAAATATCATCTGGTTCTGATAGACAGTGTTGGTCTAAAAAGGGCAGTTTAACAATACATATTGATCTTTGTTTTTCCTGGATGTTTTATACTTTGTTGCTGTGTTTTCAGCAGGTCCTCCCAGTCAAGACCTCCAGACTCTTGTGAAAGGCTTGCTTAACAAAAACCCAGACAACAGGTCAGGCTCAGACACACAGACCACACATATATTGTGTTACTATTGCAGCTATTAGCATCCATCAGAGTAGAAAGCTGGTAGTCTGACTTCATCGCAAGACAACATCTAAATTTGAGCTTTGAAATAATATCAATGATCAGCAGCAATACTCTGATAGGTAGTGCTGGTCAAACCTTGAATTATTGGTGTTTTGTTTCCTAAAATTATGACCAGAAAATGTACCAGCTATGAATAGTAGCTGCACAACACAAAATTATTTGCTGTGAACATCAAAGCTCTAAAGTTGTGCTGACGTGATTTTATTCATGTTACTTATGCCGTGTTACTGTCAAGTGCTTAAACTAGTACAAAGGTTACATTGTTCTTAATGAAGGGCTCAAGAGGTTCATCTGAATATCTAAATGCTGCTAATGCTTTCAGATGCATTTGAATGTAATTCTGTTTGTTCTTGTCATCAACAGGTACAATTTAAGAGCATTTACTCATGCTATTTGGTGCTTTTTCATCTCAGTATATAGCTTTGTATTTATTTAGTAACCTTTATTCAATCTGGAAAATCCTATTGAGATCACAGATCTCTTTTGCAAGGAAGGCCTGGGTCTGAAGGCAGCCTAACATGCATGTTTTTGGTCTGTGGGGAAAGAACCCACGCAAGCATGAGAGGCATCAGTGCTAACCACTGAGCCGTCATGCTGCCAAAGCTTTTGTTAAAGACGTTTTTGTTTTAAAAAATAGTTGTGTTTTCATGGTTACCTGTTATTTTTTCTTCTGCAGAATCAACTGGCCAGAGCTGTTGGATCACCCATTCTGGACACAAGTAATAAAGGAGGAAGATGATGCAAAAGTTCGTGAGGAAAACAATAAACACAGTGAAACGGGAGGAAGAAATGGCTGTGAGGGACATGGCTCTGTTAACTTGAGGTGTGTTGATGCAATTTTTCTTAGTATTAAAGATTCATCACAACTGCAAAGATTTTTTTTGTGTTGTTGAAGTAGTTTTGCTGCATGTTAAATTAGTTTATTGTTTGTGGTTAGTAGTAATTACAGGACAGTGGTAGCTCGGTTGTCAGCGCCGCTGTCTTTAATCCTGAGGCTCATGTTTGAGCTCAGGTTTTGTCAGGAGAAGCATCTGATGTAAAACAATTGCCAAACCTTTCATGCAAGTTCACTCACTGTGGTGACCTCTACAAAAGGGAGTAGAGGAAAACAAAAACAAAACTATTTGTAATTGTGAGTGCCAATATATTATGCTGATTTAAACCATTTTATGTCAGACACAGATCAAAACTTTGAAACAATCTAACTGATCACATTTCAACAACACAGGGATGTCATGCAGGAGTTTTAAAAAGAAATTAAATATTTTGTCTACTGAACTTTTATTTTTCCCTTGCTCTTCATTTATGTTTTTATTTTAAAAGCAGGAGTGGGCTGACATACAGAATATCCACAAGCCACACAGTCGTCACCCAGCCAGGCTACATCAAGTCAAAGAAGCTCATCTCTTCAAATGTAACAAATGAAACAACTAAGAGGCCGTGTGAGAGAGAAACTGAGGACCAACAAGTTGTTAAAAATACATTCAGAGGAGCATTAAAGAACAGTTGGTTCCTGCAGAAGGAGGCATTAGGTGAACGAACAGGAGAGGAGAAATTAAAGACTGAAGAAGAAGATGATGATGAACTAACTGAAGTGAAGCAGGAAGGTCCCACACTGCACCATAATAAGTCTTATAGATCAGGTAATGACTTTTTAACTGTGCCTTTTTAATATTATAACATCTGACTATAATCTGTATTCAGATGAAAAAAAATCAAATATGCTTTTGGATGAGGAAAAAAATATTCAAAGTCAATTATTTTTGAACATTTGTATCCTTTTCTTAGCGGGTTGTTGGTGTTGTATTTATCTCTTCCACAAGAACAGGTCACGATGTACCTTGGAAAATTTTAACATGCTTTCTTCTTCAGATAATGTATTGGAGCTCAGGCCAAAATGCTGGGAGGATCAGGACAATACAGAGGCCCTCTTCCTGCTTAGGTACTCTTTAATGTTTTAATTAGGGCTGAATAAAATGAAAACACACACCATATTGTTCCAATGACAAGAAGATTTGTGATAAACCAGTTTCCTTAACTTCTCTGTTTCTGATATGTCATCATGATAATGACATCAGTGTGAGTTTTATAGTTTTGGTCACACTCTTAAATTTGGCTTTGGACATTTCATAGTGGGACATCAAATCCAACAGACCCCAGAAGGATTATTGACATGCAGTTTTGGTCCTCAGGTTATTGTAATTCTTTGTGATATTGATATTGTGCGCAATGATACAGCAATGTGTAGCTCTAATTTGAACTACTTTGAAAAGATGATGTACTTTAATTTTATGGAAAAAAGACCTTTTTTCCCCAAAATGTTAAAAAGTCTTAATTCTTTGAAAAATGTATTTTAGAAACGTATCCATAAATACTGTAACTGGTATCTTAAAAAGTAGATGAAGTTCTTGTGACCTCACTGCAGCTCTTATATTATTTTGTAAACAACTAAGAAGCCATTTTGTCTTTTCTTTTTGTTTTTCTTACAGTTGCCATTCCAACCCAAGAAGCAGTCACAGCTTTTCAGGCTCTCCAAGCAAGAACCCTGCAGTTGAGGTTACTGTAGTACACACTGCCTGGTCCAAAAAAAAGTCACCACCAAAAAAAAAAAAGGTCACACTCTCTAATATTTCACTGGACTGCCTTTAGCTTTGATTACGGCACACATTCTCCATGGCATTGTTTCAGTAAGCTTCTGTAACGTCACAAGATTTATTTCCATCCAGTGTTGCGTTAAGTTTTCACCAAAACCTTGCTTTGATGATGGTGGAGTCTGACTGCTGTGCAAAACCTTCTCCAGCACATCCCAAAGATTCTCAGTGGACTCTGTGGAGCCGATCCATGTGTGAAGATGATGTCTCATGTTCCCTGAACCACTCTTTCACAATTCCAGCCCCATGATTCCTGGCATTGTCATCTTGGAATATGGCCGTGCCATCAGGGAAGAAACTATCCATTGATAGAATAACCTGGTCATTCAGTATATTCAGGTGGTCAGCTGACCTCATTCTTTGAGCACAGACTGTTGCTGAACCAAGACCTGACCAACTGCAGCAACCCCAGATTATACTATGATCATCATAGCACATAGTTAAATCCAGGTGGCAGCTTTTTTTGTCCTGGCAGTATATATATGCTGTATATATTCATATATAATCTTCAGCTCTGGACATTGTTGACCTTCTTCTCATTTTCTGCTCCATTAGGTGAACACTTGTCCGGACATTACAAACTGTGTAAAGCAGCTTCTCCATGTTGACTCCGATCTGAATATCACCCACATCATTGACAACCCAAAGGTACACATGCAGTTGAATTGTACACAGATTCATTCAAAGGAAGTATTGTTGTCTCAAGTCTCTCTGTCAAAACCTTTGTTTCAGTCAGAGGATATTTGATTGAATAGTTAAAATATAAAATAAACCTCCACCTGCCTCAAGTGGAGGAGTTTAAGTATCCGGTTGTCTTGTTGAGTGATGGTAGGATGGAGCGTGAGATGGATTGATGAATTGGGACCTCACCCTCATTAATGAGGGCCTTGGTTGTGGTGAAGAGCTGAGTCAAAAGGCAAAGATCTCAATTTACTGGTCTGTCTTTGTTCCAACCCTCACCCATGGTCATGAGGTGTGGATCTTAAACGAAAGAACGAGATATCGGATACAAGCGGCTGAAATGAGCTTCCTCTGTAGGGTGGTCGGGCTTAGCCTTAGAGATAGGGTGAGGAGCTCCGTCATCCGGGGGGAGCTCGGAGTAGAGCTGCTGCTCCTCCACATCGAAAGGATCAGTTGAGGTGGTTCAGGCATCTGATTAGGATGCCTCCTGGACGCCTCCCTTTAGAGGGGATCCGGGCACGCCCCACTGGTAGGAGGCCCCGGGGAAGATCCAGGACTTGCTGGAGGGAGTATGCATCCTCTCTGGCCTGGGAATGCCTTGGGGTTCCCCAGGACGAGTTTGAAAGTGTTGCTGGGGAGAGGGATGTCTGGGTTTCTCTCCTGGACCTGTTGCCTCTGCGACCCGAAGCGGAAGAAGATGGAAATAGTTAAAATATTAACTCCTAATGAAAGTTGGAAAGTTTTTAGTGTGATTTCAATGTAAATCAAATGGAAAAGGAGAGAACATGGTTATGACCCAATCGAGACTATTCAGTGAAAGGAAATGTTTGGTTTCGTATGATTTCTACAGATTCTGAAGACTCCTCCTGTTCGGTTTGATCCCAAAACCCTCTGTGTACCCGCACATTCAGGTAGGTTATTTTTCTGATTTTTCACGTTCATTAGCATAAAACCGTCTTAAATAAATTAGATTTACCTCCGACTTTCTCCTTCAGCTGAGAAGCTGCTCTCTCTGAATGATGAGGAATGGACTGCCTTTGTGTTACAACTCCAGTCATGCCTTGAAGAGCAGAACTCTTCCACGTCTCTCCCCTCCTCTAATGCTCCTCCTCAGTCTACAGCTGTTCGATCTATGCTCAACCTGCTCTGCTACCTCTGCTGTGTGGTTGGGAATAAAGTTATCGCCAACAGACTGATGAACTCAACTCTGGTACAAAATATTTACTTAAGATTACTGTTAGAATGTGTGCAAACATTCTGCTGATAAGAATGTGATAAAAACTGATAATCAGCTGCATCAAAACACATAAAAACATTACCTAAAAGCATATTTTTAAGCACATACCAGTTAGGTTCTAACTTGCTGGTATTTGTTTTATCTGTTTACAGCCCTGTCCCACTGTAAGGTTTTACACAACTCATGCTGATGTATGAAAATCTTGTTCAACGTGCAGGCATACGCTGATGATATATAAAGCGTGACCCAAACGAGTTGAATGAATATAACTGTTGAACATATGAGTAACTTATCTATAGCTTGTCTTTGTCATATACATAACTTATACCAGCATATTACAGCAGAGCTTCAAGGTCCTGACACACTAGACAACTTATGCCAATTTATGGACATTTTAAAGTTATCTACGTTGAAGCTGGAATTGAAAAAAATGATCAGGAAGCTTCTTTTTGGCGTGTACATAGTGTAATTCTAACAAACTGATCAAATATATAACTTTTATTAGCAATTTAGACATAAAAATATTTCATATGTTGTCTAGTGAGACAGGGTCTTTAGCACAACATTAGTGTAACTTGAGAACTTTGCACGTTGGAGCAAATGGCTTCAATCACAACATCAGATCAAAGTGATCTTCAGCGTACGCCAGCATGTGGGCACAAGTTGTCTAAAACTATATAGTGTGGCCTTTAACTATTCTATGCACCTTTTTGTATAAAACAAAACTAAAAATAAATTATCTGAATCGAGTTCTGTGCAGATCTTACAATTTTTAGAGTCATAAAAATGTAATCAGTTTTTTTCATGTTCATAGTTTTCTACAGGTTAGTTTTTTTATCGTATCATTCTGTGTTTTTTTTTTCTCTCCACTTTTATTTAGCTTCGTGTGCTGACCCAGCAGTTACGACAAGCTCCAAACTGGGATGTGTAAGTAAATCATGGATTTCATTCAGATATTTGAAATGAAATTATGATTAAAATTTTTGGTTTTTAAACTTGATTGCTTGTTTTAAATATCAGACACGTTTTACTTTTAGCAAATACATTATTAATTTAGGAAATTCATCAAAAAATTCTGTTGAAAGGCCTGTTTTGTGATTTAAACTCCTTTTATTAAATTATGTTTCTTTAACAAATGTTTTACAGACGGATGAAAGTTCTCAGAGTGATGGGTCTTCTGGCTTTGCACTGTACTCACCTTGAAGAGGACAGTCCTGTTTCTGAGGTCTGACAGCTCTTTTTTTTGTCAAAATTATGTTGATTTTCATTGGATGAACATTCCTTTTATTCTCTTTGGAGACATCCAGCATGTCATCACATTGTTACAATGTAAATGTGAATTGATACAAATACAGGTATTTATCTAGGCTTAAGCATCTTGTAAAGAAAACAACACATACAATCTAAAAATTTAAAATATCATTCTGAAAACAAATGCATTTTTTTTATTGCCAGTCATATTAATTAGTTCAGTAACAGAAGAAATTCACTTTATTTATATAGCGCCAAGTCACAACAAACATTGTCTCAGGGCACTGTACAGAAAAATAAATGAAAGAATGAATGAATGAATGAATAATCTAAGGAAGCCAGCAGATTGCATTTAATTTTCACTTTGTCACAGTCTCCCATCCTGAGCAGCACATTGTCAGCAGGGAAAAGAAAAATCTCCCTTTTAACAGGAAAAAACCTCCAGCAGAACCAGAACCAGGCTCAGCAGCTGCAGTCATCTGCCTCAACCAGCTGGGTTTGGTGGGGACGGACTCAGACAAACACAAAAAGACTGGTTCAGATGTATTTTCCTCTGGAAGACAGACCAAGAAAACACGTTTTTGATAGAAATAATTGGAAAGTAATCAAATAAAGTGAAAGGAAATCCCAGCTTTTCAAATACACCCTCAACAGTACACATGTAATGCCAAACAGGACCATGAGGTGGCAGCAAATACCCAAATAAACCACAGTTTGTCCAAGGAGCCCAAAATCAATATACACATAACATTATTTTGATAAACATGTATTAAACATAAAGATACAATCTTGTTATTTTTTATATTCAATTTAGGAAATTGTTGCCAGTAACCATATTTTCAAACTAACAAGAGGGATCAACTGGAACACTGTTTGTCAGTTCCTGTTTGTACCAGATGATGGCATAAAAAGCTTGTAAAACAACATCTAACAGTTTAGATAATGTCAAATACCAGAATGCATTTTTCTCTTCTGCTCCAGCTATTTGTTAGTCTACCACACAAACACAGATCTTATTGGCTTTTAAGACTTTTACTAGATATTTATTTTTTCATCTTTTTGCTTCCTTTCATTTTATTTATTACTTGATTTTTGTATTTATTGTTTGTCGATTTTCTTGGTTTATTTGAATGAATTCATGAATAAATTAATAATTAATAATTGAGTAAAAATCTTCTAAGGAAATCTACTTCCACTGAAGAGTATTGCCATTAAAGTACTTGTTTATTTTGTTCTAACATTGAAATGGCTCGGACATAGAAAATAAATACCTACAAGGATTCTAGGGGTCAAAGTTTCTCAAAACAACATTACATCGTACTGAAGCGACTAATATTATCTCCTCATGTAAATGGTGTTATTGTTGTGGCTTATAGACATGTAATCAACAGGTGAAGCTGACCCCCAATGATACAGTTTTGGTCACAATTATACATTTGTACAGATTAATACAGACACAAACATAGCACCTGCAACTGAACTTTGTAATCTGTCCAAACAAATTATGAACTTATAGCAATATTAGAAAGTATGAATTATATTAGGAAGTATGAATTACAACAGGTTTTAGACTGCTTCATTTTTATCTATGGAGCACAACACAGTTTAGGTATGTTACTTTAATCCCAGTGCTCAAGAAAATATTGTTCAAGAATTCATCAGTTCAACACCAAGTCTTCAGATGAGCTATTTCATCAAACCCTCTAATTATAGACTCGTACAAACAATATCCTGCTCACATAATTCAGTCTGAAGCAGTTTTGTGCAAACACCAGTCTTTAACATGTTTCTATAGTTGTATAGTTTTTATCTTCAACACATTTTTTCTCTCCATTTCTTTGAGTTGTTACAAAAAACAATAAGTGAAACTGGAAACCCAGCTTGTCTGTTTTTATGGTTACTGTGAGCAAACATTTTGATGGGAAACATTTTCTCTACCAGCATTTGATGGTGAGAAGACCTAAAGAAAAACAGTAAAAGGGTTTGTTTATTCACTTGGAGAAAAACGTCAAAAATGTTTATCAGTCCAGCCGTCAAAACAAAGATGCCAGTTATGGTCGGAGGGCCAGAAGACATGTCAACAGTTGTATCAGTTAGGATGCAGAATAACCTCATCTTTAAATCAAATCCTCATCTTTTATTTTATAAGCTGTTTATTAAGACCTAGAGGCAGCAAATATTTACATTTCCGTATTTATTTTTAATTTCTCCTTCCATGCATTGGGGGAATGAGCCTCTGAGTCGTCACCGGGGTTTACAAAATGGCCGACTTTGGCATATGTTGTTTCTGTGCACTTGTTAAAGACAAATGGTGGAACAGTTTTTCTTCTGCCCTTCTTAGTTCTCTTCAGCTGCTATAAGATAACACTTCACAACAGTGTCTGTGTATGTTTGTGGCTATGGTCCTGTGGACTGGCTATGGACTCAGCAGGGGCTCCTGTGTGTGTGTGTGTGTGTGTGTGTGTGTGTGTGTGTGTGTGTGTGTGTGTAAGTGTGTGTGTTTGTTTTGTGTGTGCTTTATTACATTTTTAGTCATAT